ACATACTCATTTCTAATCTTGTGTATCCTGATCACCTCTTCTTCTTCACCTGTGTTGTGAACTGTCTGTTGCTTTGAATGGTACCTCAGGTATTTCAAATGGCTTCTGCTCCATGTGTCTTCAGTATCTCCCTGTTATTCTAACACATGTATTCTGTCTTGGTTCTACTGACTTCCATTCCTCTTCTCTCCAGCATACCTCAACCTCTCCAGGATCTCTTCTATTTGCTCGTTACTCTCTTTACAAATTTCAAAGTCAACTGCAAACATTAAAATCCATGGAGACTTCTGCCTGACCTCATCGGCCAGCCCGTCCATCATCATTGCAAACAAGAACAGACTCAGAGCCGATGCCCTGTGTAATCTCACCCCAGCCTGAACACATCTGTCACTCCTACCGCATGCCTCACCACAGACTAGCTTTGCTCATGTGTCATGTGATTGTTGTGTTTTCTCTGTTTTCTTTGTGATATTGTAGAGTCTTCACCTTACAATATAAAGCACTTTGAGGCAACAACAGTTGCCTCAAGGCAAGGTTGTTGTGATTTAGCGCTATATAAATAAAACTGAATTGAATTGAATGTCCTGCACCACCTTCACTACTCTTTACTTCTTTTCATGCAGTATCACATTCCTCTCTTTACACCCCATCAGATGTTTTCTTCTGACCGTAGCTACAGTTCTCCATCAACACTCTCAAAGGCATCGTCTAACGCTCCAAAATAGTTTTAAATAATTTGGTTAAAAAGTCCACTGATATAGCGATGTCTGTTCCATCGCCATATCAGTGGACTTTTTCTATTCTTAATCATCCTAATTTGCTGCACATCCTTTACTGCTTGATCTCTTAGGCTAGCCACTCATTGCAAGTCCTTTTCTCCGTCCAGCCTCACATACAACTCACTATAAGCCTTTCCCTTTGCTCTTGACACATCTCTCTTTGTGGTATGGAGACTCCCAGTACTCCTGTCTAAATTCCTCATTTCCCTGATTAGTTTCCGTCACCACTTCAGCTCTACTTTCCCAGCTGCACTTTCCTTCCATATTCTTCTCCTTAATACCTTACCCACCCAGCAACTCCTTATTACTCATGTTTCCTTCACCTACATGCCCACTGAAGTCTGCTTAAATGACTACTATCTCACTCCTAGGAATACTCCCTACCTCGTCATCCAAATTATTGCAAAAATCCTCTTTCTCTTCCAACTGACACGTTGTGAGGCATATGCACTGACAACATTCAGCAACACCTCTTTGGTTTCCAGCTACAAAGTCCTGCTCCGTCTGAAAACCTCTTCACCTCCACAACACTATTCACATACATTCCTTTTCAAGGTTACCCCTACCCCATTACTATCTACACTATTGTTTAACAACTTGAATCCTGTTAACCTGGTGTGCTGGAGCCAACATTTACTAGACGCTTTAACAGACATAGTCCCTATTCTAACCTACAGATCCCTCTTTTCATCTTTCTTGCTGCCTGCAAACACGTCTTCCACAATTTCATCTTCCTTTTGTCTTTGGCCAATAATAGCACAGTTTGTAGGAAATCTCATTTTTTTAATCCACATTTGGTTTGACAAAGATTGCTATGTCGGACGCCCTTTCTGGCACAACTCTCCCTGATCCCTGGCTTGGGACCAGGGTTCTCCCAATAAGTGATTGTCTGCCAAAAATGATTACAGATGCTTGTATGTGTTATGGCTAATATTCTTATTGATAGTGGTAAATATGCTGCAATAAGCTGGGTTTATTAAGAAGAAATGACCCACTTTGCAAGTATTCCTATGAATCTGTATTACTGT